AGATGAGCTGTGTTACAAGAATATGAACAATCTAGTACAGTAGCTACATTTTTAATTGTCTTCTTTTTTGCATGGCTGAAGCTAACTGTAAAGTAATAATTGCAGTGATATAAACCTGTAAACAATTGTAACGATTGCATTGAATGTTTAACAAGTCTACGATTATTTACACCGACTAATCTTCAAGCAGCACATGTAATGCACAGCGTGTCTGGCTAAATTACCTGTCTTCAGGAAAAGTAGAGCATAATAAAATGGTATTCACCTGAACTACTGTAAGAAGTTTTATTTATTTATTTTTATTTTTTTTACTGCCGCTCAGTGTGAAAGTTTTCGTCAACAAACACTGCAGGCGGAATTGAGTTTAATTAAACTTTTACTTTGAGTGTCTCAAGCTCACAAAGTAACATCCAGTTCTGCTTTGCGTGGTACGCTGGGAAATGATTGGTCCACAGTAAAACTAATTGAAAACGAAGGCTTTAAGGGCACAGACGCACCATTTTCAGCCTTGGCTTGAGAGGCTCCAAAGCCTTTCATTGTCTCCTTTTAGCAATATGTTTAAGACAGCTAAACCACACTTCCAAAGAGAATTTTAAGACTTTCTCCTACTGTCTGGGACAGCAAAACCAGGCTTGAAGTTTTTTTTTTTTGTATTTTCAAAAGAAAATCTTACAATAACAGAGCAGGGACTTTTTAGTGGCTGCACTAGATTAAACCTCTTATGTTCTGGTGAATTTTCTGGTTTCCAGAATATATGTCTGTTTATCCTAAAACAAAAAGGAAAAAAAAAAAAAAAGTTCTTGAAAGGCTCAATGATGAACACATGTCTCAATAATTTAAAATACCTCATTTTAAATGAAAAAGTGTTTTTTATACGGACATGAATCTAGTCTATTGAGTCATATTTTTGTGTGTGCTTGTAATATTAAGAAACCATCAAGTGTTGAAGGTACAGTAGATTTATAGTAAGACTACCACAACTCACCAACCCTCCTGAGCATCCAGCCTGTTTCTGGTCTTAAAGCAAATTGGTAACACACCTGCACTTAATTAGAGCATACCACAATATAATAGGTGAAACTAAAAAAGAAAATCTAAACAGAGAAACAGGAATACGATTTTAAATCTTGATTTACAAACTCACCATTAGTAAATGGTCTGCACAGTGAAATGTGTAATACTGGGCAACTCAACAGGTTAATTTAAAGAAAAACAAACAATGTAATACAAAAAAGAAAGCCCTCCATTTAGTAGAGCCCGGTGATGCAATCAGTGATGTCATCCAACAGGAAGTGTTGGGCCGGCTCCTCCCACCTGCTCAGGCTGTTGCATCTGAAAGGAGCAAACAACGGTGAGAAAACAAGAGACCATAAAATAATTGACCATAAATATACCTTGAAACAAAAGAAACTTATTCATCCAATACGTTTGATGAACATAAGCTTCTTTAGTTAACCAAAGCTTCTGCTAGCTTTAGTTAAAGCTAACAGAAGTGTTAGCTTTAACTACATATATGTAAAGTGCAGCATAATGCTAAAACAAACAAACAAACCCAGGATAGTGAGTGAAGCTAAGGTGCAACAGCAATGTGTGAATTATAGCATTTTGACCAACTATAGAAAGATTAAATGAATCAGAAATGAAAAAGGGACAAATGGTAAACACAAACTGAACCACTTTGTCACATTTATGTCCGTTATGGACTAGGAAAAGCAAGGAAGCCATAGTACATCATAGTAAGTATATTCAAACCTTGACGCATTTTAATGATCTAAAAACAATAAGGCGTTTATTATTTCTCAAAGGCTAAAGCTCAAAATTCCTCGTCTTGTTCTAGTGAATCCAAAATTGTGTATCGTCTTGTGAGATGGATCTACTGTTACATCAGCTATCTAGAGAAACGTCACTTTAATGGCGTTGATAAACTTCCTCTTGGAATTCAACTTTATATAATTTAGTTTGGAGACTTGCATTGGGGCAGTTGGTCTTACATTTACGTACAAGAAACAACCAGCCGGAAAATGCTGAATGTTTTCTAAAGTGGTGCCTTTTTTTTTGAAGCTAGTTGAATATTTTTTTTAAATTTTGTGCTAGAGGTACTGGACAATATTGTTCATGTCCTTTGCAGGAGGCGCAGAACTTATTTACTCACTCTGTCAGAATGCCATTTTACATGCAAAAGAGCCCTCATCAGAAATAGGGCTGTTATTCATAGCTGAATTGCTCTGCAAATGATTCTTGCCTGTGACAACTTTCATCAACATGAGACATTGCGTAACCAAAGCTGGTACGCTTTTAATTGGCACTATTTTCTCCTCTGGGCAGCGCGCAACACATACAACAGCATCAAAATCCCCCTTCACAAAGGCTGGATCTGGCTTTTTAGTTGCATAAATACGTATATCCGTTTTAGATGACTTCCCTAATTACCTTTTTAAACCGGAGTAATCTCACGACGCATTTGGCGAAAATTAAAAAATGCACCTCCCTGAGTAGCATTTTTCTTTTCTTTTCTTTTTTTTCATGTCTGAGCCTGCATTTATCCACCTGAAATTAATTCCCTAATTTGTTTGTAAGATACACAGGGAATACTGGAGATCCCAATCCACTTAAAGTATCTTGTCTGCTACTTTACATTTCTGTTCTGAAATGCTGATTTGTCCCCAAAGAGTCCTCCCTGCAATCCTGCTAGTCATTAACATTGAAATGAAGAACGAGTCTCTGCTTTTCATGAGGGGTCTGTAAAATTCTGTAAGGGGTTCCTGCAGTGTGTGTGTGTGCGTGTGTGTGTGTGTTTGCTTTGGCTGTCTAATGAAACCAAGATTAGAAGGAGGGGAAATTTCATGTTCAATGCTGAGAATTCACACTCAAACCGTGGTGTGGCTTGCGCTGCTAACACTTATTGATACGTGTCGAGGCGTTTGATGACATGCTTGTCCAAACACACAAATCAAAAAGCTGAAAGCTGCCTGGCATGCCACAGTGGTGCAATCTCAAACACTTATCCCTCTGTGTATCATAAATGTTACTCAGTCTATTTTATTTATTTATTTTTATTAGCTTTCAAAACCTTTCGATAAAGTAATTTCATATTGATCCTCTTGAGGGCTCCACAGTTGTTCTAGCCTTGATTTTTTTAGTGGAAATGTGATTTTCATACGTAGACAATATTTTACAATTTCTTTTATAACAGCTTCTATAATGGCTTTTGCATAATGCACAAACACGTGCTGGACTCTCAGGTTTCCTTTGGTTGACAATGCAAGTCTGATGTAGAGTCTGAAACTGACTTATTTAGGCTACATAAAAGGTTTTTGTATTGGTACACACTCAAACTTTTGTTTTTGTGTATTACCGAAAACAGAAATGCAAAAGCTCGGCTCATTGAAGAGTAACATATCAGTGGGTTGTAAAACTGTGGGACTCTTTAGATTATATTGTTTGACACTGCAGGCATATTCACACTAGTTTATTTTGATAAATTGGTTTACTTAACTTAATGTTCACTGACTGAATTAGCAAACACTAATTCGCCCATTATGGAACATTTCCATGCACTGATGTAAATATTGTAGCAGCCGTTTGTTCTTCCCACCTCACTTGTTTAGTAAAGTGAATTTTTTTTTTTTTTTTACATATTTCAGTTATTTTTTTTATTTTTATTTATTTATTTTTTTTTTGATGATGATGAATTCAATCTTTATTATTTTCACAAATAAGCCAGTCCCTTGACAGCTCCGAAAATGGTACATGCTCCAAATCAGAATAAATTTAACCGTCAAGGACTTGGACGCTTCCAGAGCACTTTGTGCATTAGTTACTGAATAAAGTAATTAAATATCCTGATAGAAAACTGTTGTGTACAGTTTCCAAGCACTTATTTAAGATTGAATATTTGTCTGGCAATGTACCACATGACAGATGATTTGTCACAAAATATCTGGAAAAAAAAAAAAGCAATGCGGTCTGAGAACAGTTTTTGCTTTTGCGACGCGTTCGTTTTTTTCCGACTGAGTTTTCTGCTGGAAACACAGCAAGAACGCCCACTGATGATTGAAGTAAAAACCAGAGAAATTAGATCTTTAGACCCTGTGGAGCCCTTTTGCTCTGTCACGTAGATTGTAATGAAAGCTACACCTGCATACTAACTACTATCACTTCTGATGATTTTTCTTTCACTAAACCAGCGGCAAACATAGTTCAATAAAATGTCTCTTTATGGACATGTTTCTTTTGTGTTTGACAAACAAAACAATTTTTTTTTCAATTTGTAACCCGTCACGTCTTTCATCACTCCCACATTTGAACTACGACTTCTGTTTTTTATTTTTTTCTATATAAACACATATGTTTGCAATATCATTAAATGGAAATATTCTTTCCTGCTTTGATTACGTTGGAAATTTGTTTCAACATCAACTAATCAGAAATTCTCTTTTTACTGAGAAACCGATTTTCAGCTTCAGCTGATGCCTTTTTGAAGAGCCGTCAAACCCGTACACGCGTGTTTCATGAGAATGTTATAAGGGTGTCTAAATCATGTAGAAATTATGTTCTGTGATTTCAGCTATTGATCAAAGTGATCTGAGATTATTTTTGCGTCTCCTGCCTCCCACTGTTTAGTTACATACCTAAAGATACAGCAACCATTAAATCAGTTTTGACAATCTGTTTCACTTGGTCCTAAACTTTTAAAATTGACCATATTTCCTTACTTTTTTCTTTAAAAAAAAAAATATTTTATTTGACACTAGAGGCCCTTTGACAGTCACCAAATCTTGTGGTTTGTTGACATTATTAGGGACATTTTTTTATGCTAATGGACTAATTACTTCTGTCACAGTTTTGTGTTGACTTATTCTGTAATTTCTAATTTGTGTGTGCAGTTCATGGCAAAGTGTTTCCACGCCTCTTTACTGGAAATTAAAGTTTCCTACACACAGTGAACATGTTTCTACATGGCTATTGTGAAGTTAAAATGTTTCGTTTGTCTCTTTCAGGCCTGCAAGAGGTGACTGTCAGAAGAAATGCCGGTCCCAGGTGCCCTAGTACATCATCACCGGGACCATGGCAACTCCTTGGCCAATGACAAAAAAGAGGTGCTTCCATGGCTTCGCCAGCCTTGCTAGATGGTCGGCTTCCTCCTTGATGCTCCTATGGTTGCCTTTGGTGTTGCTATGGCTGCCGTGGCCTGCCCAAGCTGAACAACTGGCCAGCGGGGGACAGAGTGGAAAGGCGCTTCTTCATGGTTCCCTGTCATCCCCAGCGTCGTCGTCGTCATCGTCGTCGTCGTCCTCCTCCTCCTCGTCCACCTCCTCATCCCCTTCCAGCTCCTCAGCATGGGGCTTCAACACACGGCAGAGTGGGGGGCAGCTGGACTGGCTGCTGTCGGAGAAAGGACCTTTTCACAAATGCCCGGAGTACACGGAGTTCAGAGAGAGGTTTCAGCAGGGGTTTTCAACAAGATACAAGATTTACAGGTGAGAGTGGGGGGGGCGGGCTGTTCATATGTGTGGCAGATGAAAAGAGAATGCACTTAAGATTTGAAAGATCAAAAGGTGGAGCAGAGAGTGGCACTCTGCCTTAAACCTAAGTGTGGGGTTTTGTGTCTCCCTGTTCCTTCAAAAAGCTGCTTACCCACCATTTTGACTTGTGATCTCTTGATATGAAAGACATCCACCAGGAATCTCTTGTCACAAGATGCATATGTTTGAGTTTAAGGTATAGATTCGTCTGAGGGTTTGTTTGGGATCAAAGCATCTGAAAGAGGTAAAATAAATAAAAAAAAAGAGTTAAAGTGAAAGATAAAAAGCATAGAAACCTTTATTCCTCCTTTAAGCTTACTGGACATTGTTAAAAAAAAACTTCTATAGAAATATTTTTTCAATTTTTAACAGTTTCAGGATGTTATGTGTACTATCTGAGAGCAGCTCGCTGTGTGGTTGGCATTTCACCTCCCGTATTCAAACCATAAACAGAGAGTAAATGAGGTTAACTCAGCTGAATGTCAGCTGCTACAACTGTCTTCAAGTTGAAATCTTTGAGAATATACACTTGAATTTGATTGCTTCTTTTTACTTTTACTTTTTTCTCCCATATACTTGTGGATTCCTGACACTTTTAATCAAAAAACATGATTTGAAAAGGTCCTTCACGTTGCTTTTATTTCACAAACGTATCGGAATCAAACAGAGTCAATCTTGAAGTGTGTAAGATGTGTGAAGAAAATATAATTTCATCTGCAGGAGTGATCCGTCTACAGCTGTGAGAAAGACTAACATATTAAAGCTGGATATGCTGGCTGTGTACACACACATACGCACACAAACACACACACACACACACATACACAGTAGGTATACATATTTATGTATATACATATAAAATACCACTTAACTCAGTGTTACCACTGAGTAAAAACACATTAATAACACACAGATGGATGCTTGAAAGCCCTTTTTTCTTAATAATTATGAAGATTTTCCACTTACAACTTGACATGTATAATTAAAATTTTATCTCGGACCAAAAAGGCAAAAACAACTTTTAAATGGAAATGTGAGCAAAATGAAACACGTGTTTCATATAGCTCACACACTTGCTTGAAGGTTATTTTCAAAAAGCACTTTTAATCTCACAAACCAGCCTCATATGAAGGCACATTCTAATGTATTAAATGCGACTATGAGCTCTTGTGTCTGCGAGTCACATGGCTTCTCCAGGAGGACAACTTCTCAGTTGCTGTAAATCAGCATATTGAAGACAAAGTGACTTGAATTTGAACTGTTTTTAGCATCTTATATCAGTGGTGAACACAGTTAACATCACCAGTTGCAAACAGGAAGCTCTGTGAGTATTCTCAGGAGAATGTACTCCTTTGTTCCACACACGGCCTCTTTGCAAGGTGCTAAAAGTGGCTTCAGGTCAAATTCAAATCGGCATCCAATTTGGCCCCAAATTGACATCCTGTGGCAGCCACCTGCCTTACTGGAAAGATTTGAGTATGAAATTACCAAAACGACCAAACTGACCAAAAAAAAAAAAAAAAAATCCAAAATCCAAAAGGTGTGAAATGACCAGAGGCTGATTGGAACGATCCCCCTCCGGAGGCCTTTGAGTGCACCCACCTTCAGGACTCTACATGTGACTTTCATGAGAGTGTCATGAGTGTGAGTGTCTAAATCATGTCGAAATCATGTTCTGTGATTTCAAGACAATGATTTAAATGTTCAGACTCTTTTTTTTTTTTTTTTCACCTCCTGCCTCCCTCTGCCCTCAGCAGCACTCTTGCTTCCAGCACTGTATGGTCATAACTTTGCATACTGCAACATCCCATACAAATTTCATCTCATTCTTGACTGGTTTTTAAAAATGCATATACATATTTGTATTTTAGCTTGACTACATTGTTACCCTGATGTAGAATTTGGTTAGATGTGTCACAAGGTTTCCCTTCACTTACAATTTACATCTGGTAGTTTCATTGTTTTCCAGCAATTGTTGTTGAATTTTATCCTATTCAGAAGGATTTGTATAAAATTATACAAACGTAGAAATAATGTGGAAAGGAAAAAAAAACAAAAAAAAACAAAACATTATTTTCACAATTTCGGGCTGGACATAGCTAAAGGCAGTGAAGATGGAAGCACATTAACTTGCACTCCCACCCACATGGGTTCACTCTCAACACCACACACAGCCAAAAATATCAGATCTTTCACTAATGTCTTAAGTCACTGTGGTGTGAGCCAAGTATTATTGAGCTGTCTGTCAGGACAGTTTTGTCTTACAAAAAAAACCACAATGCATTTGTGAGACATCGTCTCACTTTAACGGACAGAAAGAAGCGGGGGGGAAGGAAAAAGCTAAATTTATGTGCAGTCCCACACAAAGCCTTACACCTGACCAACCTGGTCTCAGAAACCTGCAGGGGAGTCTGCTTCCCGCTAAAAATATCTCACATAGCAGGTTTTAAAATGAAATACTTTTATATTATTTTAGGGTTATTTAGTGCTTTTGCTGCCATGCGTCTAATGTTGACCTGATCAAAATAGCCGAAAGGGCAGCGTGAAAAACTGATACTTGATTACTGGTATTTATCGCAAATAGGCAAAAAACGTAAAAATGTTACAAATTATTCCAATATTTCAAGAAATTTTTTTTTAATAAAATTGACTTTTTTTTTTTTTTTTACAGATGTACATATTTATTTTTTTAAATTGTTTTTTTTTTTAGCTACATCTTCTCTACCATTTAATAAGGAGAAGGGAGACGCTGCTGCTTTCAATTACGTCTCTTTATTGATTTCCTCTGATGGTTTAATTTGGCTGCAAAAATGGTCGCTCATTTGGGTCAAAAATACCGTCCAGAAAATGTGAGTGCTTTTTGATGAGCCTTAGAGGGAGGATAGTTTTCTGAAAGGAATGGATTCTGTGCTTATCAAGGAGCTTGTGTGTCTTGAGGCTGTGAGCTGGGTCATTTCTAAATGACGCAGTGGAGTCCTGGGTCAGGTCCGGAGATAATGGCCCCTGCCACCATTATCATTATTCCGAAAATGGCGGCAGACGTGAATGATGCTGACTCTGTTTGCTGAGGCTGCAATCTGATTTTGTTTTTTAAATTTTTTATTTCCTCAATTTAAAGTAAATTATATTGAGATTTTTTTTTTCCTTTTGTCATTTCATTCCTCACTCTTCCTGCTCCGTGGAAATAGAGTATCCATTTTTTATGAGGGACATCATAGACGCTTCCTTGTTTACAAATGTAGACTTGAGCCTGGAAGTGACACATTTTCTTTTTGTTTTAAATTTTTTTTTTGGCTCTTTGATTGTTTCAGCTGCTGACTGAGTGCATTTTCAAAGACGAGCACTTCAATCGATCCCTTCTGTCTAGAGTCTCCTTGCTCTCAAACGCGACATGAAAACGGCAATGTTTTTCTGTCTTCATCCATCTCCCTTCTTCACTCTCTCCTGTCCGCTCTTCTTTTCTCTCTCTGCCTCAAGTTGAATCAAATGGGAATGACAGCATCACTTACAGATGGAAGGGAAGAGCTGCGTAAAATGACAGGTGAAGGTTATGCGACAGATGTGGAAATGGTGACTCCGCTTTTATCAGCGGGACACTTTGAGCGATTTCCTTTATCTTAACTTTGACTTTGAGAGTTTTAGCAAAACGCTTTTACTCATGTGTATATAAATTCTGTTTATATAGGCCTATATGGTGAACAAACAAGTTGATATTAACATAAACAATTTGCATTTGTGTCACAGAGCTGCTGCCAAATATGCCCAGCTAAGGAATTTTAATGCTTTCTCTCTCCAGAGGCAACATGTGAGTCATCCGAGGTTCAGATGTTTTTTTGTTTTTTTATTTTTTTTTATTTACGGTGCCTCCAATAAACTTTATTTATTTATTTTTTCGCCACTTTGCTTACCTTATCACTGCAACATTCAGATTAATACAGTGGTAACATAAAGTATTCACATCTTGATAATATGAATGAGATTCGACTGTCAAAGTTGGTCTATTTTTCAAAAGTAAAGTTATTACTAAAGTTTTTAACCCTTTTAAATTTTCACTCCTTTGTTTTGCTTTGCTGCTACATTTGCATCTACAATTCAATCCTTACAGCAAAGCCAAAAATGACGCGTCACAGATCACACTTTGAAAAGTTTCACACGAGAGACAGAGGTAACATTGACGATTTATAGTAATGGGAGTAAATATCAAAACCTGATTCTATGGCTTTGAACACCCTAAAACAAAAATGTTACTGAATCAACTTTTGGTTTGATTTTACTAATCGGTCTTCCTGCGTTCACTCACAGTGCGGCGTTGACTGTGAGTGAACGCCGCTCTCACAGTCAAACATTGCAGCATCACAATCAAAGAGTTACTTTTCCATATTTTCCTAAGGTGGAACCTTTGATTTTTGTCGAGGTTGGTGAATCTGAATTTTTCGACCATCAGTCAGTTTTAACCCTAAACATCCAGGTTTTTTTTTTTTTTTTTTTTCTGGAAGGTTCCAGTTTGATAGTTAAACCAAATAAACGGGAGAATGTTTTCAACAGAAGAAAATGCAACAGTAGATGTGGCTAATGGCTGCCCTGGCTGAGCAGGTTTATTCTAGATGCAGTGCTGTGCCATTTGCCCCAGCTTAATGTCAAATATAAACACTGCTTATTTATACAAAATTGCTCAGAAAGAAAGATAAATGTGGGGCGGTGGAAGGCTTTTTCCATTTTTTTTTTTTTTTTTCGTTTTGTGACTGTAAACAAAATGTGCAATATAGATTATCAAGTAATGAATGACCCCGACTAAATAACTCATTTAATTACGTAATGGTAGATTAGACGCCCTTATATGTGCAAGTTTTGTCCTTATTGCGTAAGGACAACTTATCGGCGTCGCACAGTAAACACTGCCACTACATGCACTCGCCTCCTGTGTCTCTAATTGTACCCGGGTGACCCCTCTAATG